GCCTAGCCACCGCTGTCTCTGCGGTCCCTACCTTGCTGGTGGCAGTGAAGGTAAACAATCTCCTCTAAGCAGATGGTCACAGCATAGTCCCAGTAGACGCTGGAAAGGGAAAGTGGGGGAGACTGCAGGAGACCAGAAGACCAACGCAGGGGCACCTCTGCCTTCACCAAGGCCCACCTGTCCCAGTATCTGTGTCCCCAGACTATCCAGCCATTCTCCCCTTCTTTTGCTCTCAGCACCTCAACTTTCTGAAGAATCCCTCCTCCCTTGCTACATGGTTACCTGAGCAGAACTCTGCCAAATCTCTACCCTGGGACTCTGGGATGGTCACCTGACCCAGGCTGGCCAGTCAGCACTGACTGTCATTACCTAACCCAGGCCGGCCAGTCAGCACTGAGAGGTCACAGTGATCAATGCATGATTAGCACCATTACTTAAGCACAATCGGTGGGAGGGAACGATCCTATTTATGCTTAGACAGCCCAGGAAGAGCTCCTTGCTGCCCAGGGATGTTCAGAACCATGCATGGAAGGTCAGGAAAGCAAAGACAGGATGAGTCAGGCATGGGCACTCAGGTCCCTGGGTCCAGCCTGCGGTCTCCTGCCCGTGGACAAGTGCTCCAGTTAGCTTGGACTTGACATTTTTGCACCTGGATGTTAGATAGCTATACTAGCCCAGAACCTTCCCTCCAGGCCACCATGTGACCACAGGCAGAAGTTAGAATGGCCACTCCCAGCCTTGACCTTACATGGGTAGGTAGTATGACTTGAGGGTTAATCTAAGCCTCGGTTTCCCAGACTATAAAATGGAGGTTCTAATAGGATCCCTACTGGAGTGTTTCTCTGAGGATTCAATAGAATCGTCATTTGAAGGACTCAACCCAGAGCCCTCCCTACTCCCATACAGTCAGTTCTGAATACCATGCCTGGGCATGGTCACTCTGAGTACTGACTGAAGCATGTGCTTCTAGCTTAGAACCCAGCATCATTCTAAAATGACTTTCCCATCAGAACACCTTGGTAGGGGGCACCTGGGAATGTGGGCTTTGTGGGAGCCTAGGAACACAATCACTCAAACTCCAGACCAGGGAGAGGGCTCAGCGGTACTGCAAGCCACTCCCAGATCAACCATGGTCCTACCAAGCTGCCACGTAAGCACAGGGGCATGATCAAGGCCCATGCTGGGGAAAGAAGAGGCCCCATTATAGCGCCCTCTAGTCCAGGCTCCCCTGGACAGCCGGGTGGATTCTCTCCCTGTGTGACCATCCTTCTTCTCTCCTGTCTCCATGCATGGCAGTCTGAGTCTTTTCCTTTCAACCCCTGCTTCTGCCCTCAGCTCCCCACCCCCAGGTCCTCCCCCGAGAAAACCTTTTTCAGAGATCCTCTCATGGCACCCGCTCGGGAGGACCCAGACTAACACAGGTATCAAGCCAGTGGCTGCATCCCACTTCTGACACCTTTTATGACCCACTTCTTTCTACTCCTCTGCCTCTTATTCGGAGTCAGAGCAGAATCTCATTACAGGTCTTCCCTACGCTGGGCCACCAGCTGGCCATGCCAACGGCCAGGTAGCAGACATCCTCGGTGGTGGTCAGCAACTACAGTGCCCTTTGGATTTATCGGTCCCTCTGTATGTGTATGCACACCCTGCAGTGCAGATGAGGAAACTGAGGCTGGGGGGTTGTGAAGGTGATTGATCAAGGTCACTTGGCTGGGGGGGGGGGCAGTTCCTGATTCAGTCTGACGCGTCCTTACAGCTTGGCTAAGGTGTCATTTGCAGTCTCTTGATTTGCTATCCTTACACTTTGATAGGTCGGGAAGCATATTTACGAATTCTTCCCCTCCACGGACATCTTTAGTAAAAGGCGAAAGATTTATTATTTACGAATTCTTTATATTGCAATTAAAAATTAATTAATCAATTAATTAATGTGGGGGGAGTGCACATCATGTTGAATGAGTGGAGGTCAGAGGTCACTTCTCTGCTTCTACCAGATGAGTCCCAGGGATAGAACTCAGGTTGTCAGGCTTGGTGGATGGCACCTTTGCTCCCTGAGCCATCTCACTAGCCCTGGAGAGCAGATGTATGGATGTGAGTGGCCGACCATGCCGACCCCACCCCCACCCCCCCGCCCAGGCTCTGCCACTTTGTCTCCAGGTGCTCCCAAGGCTGGTGTTCTTTCTGAGGCCACAGCAGCAAGGAGGCTAGTAGGTAACCATGTCAACCAGGTAGAACAGCAGGCAGGGCCATCCTCCCCTGAGAAGAGAGCATCCTTGTGCTTAGGGGGGTGGAGGGGACTCATCTGAAGTTCTCTTACCTCTTCTCATAGTCCAGGTCTCCCACAGACCCATTCATCAGCTGGTTGGGTGTCCACTTCAAGGTCATGACATCAGCCGTCTGGTGCAGGGACAGGTACCCAGGCACAGCTTCCATGTCATCCCTCTGCGGAGAGAGGAGAGCTCAGGCCAGGCCATGCTGCTGGACACAGAAGCAGAACCCAAGGGTTGAGCTGTTGGTTGCCACCACTAGGAAGCCACTGGGCATCCTTCCCGGTGCCGTGCTGAGCAAAGCCACCTGCAGCCTACCATCCAGGATGAGCTTGGCAGAGTCCAGCGGCGAACGCTGCTCCCCTAGCACTAGTGCCCCCACGTCTCCCTCTTGAGACTGTCTCCATCCCAAGGTTCTTCTGGACCCAGTAAAAGAGGCTGCTGCTCCAACATTGCCCCCTTTACAAAGGCCTGGATCTGGGCCAGTCTTCGGGGGTAAAGAGAGGGCAGGTAACCTGCACCACACCCCATCGGTATCACCCAGAAAACCTTCCTCCAAGCCCTCCTCTGTGCTTCCACCCAGCAGCCCAATCTTCCATCCATCCAGAATCTGCTCATGGGCCCTCTCACCCACATCCCGTCACTCCAAGTCAGTGGGTGGGCAAGAAAATGCTCCCATCTCTCTTCCGGGAAGGAGCCCTCCACTCCTGAGTCACAGTCTTATCCGTCCCCGATTTGGGGCACATCTGATTTCCTGTGGCATCTCACAGCTGTGAAGTGGCTATCGCTGCATGGTCACACGCAGGCTCAGTCTCATCTCTGTCAATCACTCCTCCGTTGAGCTTGGCAGGGCTGTTATTTTGCAGGGAGGACACATGAGTCCGTTTTAAGCATCTCCTGACAGAGGAGCCTGTGAGTCAGCTTTGAGTGACAATGCTGTTGTGACGTGGCCTTGAGAGCAGGGTGACAGTCCATTTTTCACCTCCCCAGGTCACCCAGCCCCAGATCCCCTTGGAAGGCAGGGACGGCGTGGTCCATGGGCCTTCAGACCCTCATTTGAGATGAAAGCATTCACTCTGTGCTTATCGGAACTTCTGAGAGGTCTCCAAATTTTTTGTATTGAGAGACTGACAGGAAATGCTTAAGGCTTTGGGAGCCATATATAGATCATGACAACCACTTGTCTCTGCCACGAGAGCCTGGCATGGTCATGTTTCAATATCTGGATGACTCGTATTCTTTCTCTCTCTCCATTTCCCTCCCTCCCTTTCTCTCCTCCCCCTCGGATGTGGATGGTGCCTTGGCCTACTAAGCCCTCTACCTCTGAGCAGCACCCAGTCCTTAGCAACAGAAGCTTCTTGTTGGTCACTTGAAATCCAGCTGCATCTTAAACTCACGACTTCCTCGTCTGAGAAACTTGGGCCTTACACTCAGTGTGATGCAGATATGACAGACCACATGGTGGGATGACCTGCCCAGGGTCACCCAGTGGTTGAGGCTGTGACCACAGAGCTGGGTCTCTTCCTGCTTTCTTCCAGCTGGGCCCAAACACCACACTGATTGTAACCCAGAGATCCTGAGGACAGCAAGGGACACTGCCTCAGGGCAGGGGCTGCTCATGCTTCATGCTCTGCCCTTGTGCCCAGGCAGCTGTAGGAGCACAGAAGGCAATCAGTTCACTGAAGCAGCCTGTGTGAGAGCAAATCATAATGCTGCCCCTTGTGTGGGCTTCAACGTTGCCATCTCTACAGTTAGTGCAGCATGAGGCACTTCACAGTGAGCACTGGCCAGATGTCAGTGACAAAAAAAGTCCACCTTCTCAATGCCACACCTCTGCCATGCCGTTTGCTGAGCGGCAGTAAACATGCACAGCCAGGCAGATGACCTGGTGGACAGGGATGTACAGACAGACTAAGTGGACAAGCCGTTAGGTGGGTAGAAAGATTAACAATTGGTGGCGGGAGGTGTAGAGAACAGAAGAGCTAGAAGAGCTGCTGGCAGGGCAGCTAGCTAGAAAAATGGTCATTTGTACTTATATATAGATGTACAGATGCCTAGGTGTGTGTGTGTGTGTGTGTATACATACATACATACATACATACATACATACATATATATATATATATATATATATATATATATATATATATATGGATGGATGGATACTCAGCCAGATGGATGTAGAAACCAATAGAATATACAGGGGAGTGAATGGAGGATGTTAGTTTACTGGCAGATAAATGGACAAATGGATGAATGAACAAGTGAGAGGCTGAATAGATAGATGATGACTGGGTAGATGGATGGACAAGCAAATACATGTATACATTATGTAGGTAGGTGGGTATCAGCAAATGGAGGAATAGAAATTTTTGAGTGAGTGGATGGATGGATGAACGGACAAACAGGTGGGTGGGTGGGTAGATGGATGGATGGATAGGAGGATGGATGGATGGGTGGATGGATAGATGGAAGGATAGGTGAATGGGTGGATGGATGGATGGATGGATGGATGGATGGATGGATGGGTGGATGGATGGATGGATAGGTGAATGGGTGGATGGATGGATGGATGGATGGATGAATGGGTGGATGAATGGAGACACTACAGATGGAGGTTGGATGGATGGATGATTATATAGGTAGATGAAGAGATGCATAGATGGAGTTTTTGGTAAATATATGAATGAACAGATGGGAAGGTAGGTGGGTAGATAAATCAATATGTAGGCAAATGGATGAATAAACAGATAGGCAGCCTAAAGTTTGAGGGACCTTCCCTCTCCCATAGCCTGTAGCCAAACCCTCAGAACGTGATCTATGGTGCGGGAGAATTATCTGTATTCTGTCAATCATGTATTTTAATAAAACGCTGATTGGTCAGGCAGGAAGTATAGGCGGGTCAACCAGACAGGAAGTAGAGGCGGAGTAATGAGAATAGGATAAGGCTAGGGAGGAGAAAGGTTCCTCAGCCTCTCCTGTGCAGACCACTGAAGAGGCAGCATGTAACTTGCCCAGCTGAGAAAGGTATGGAGCCATGTGCTAATGTAGATAAGGATAATAGGGTAACATAAGTTATAAGAGTTAACAAGAAGCCTGACCTAATGCACCAATCAGTTTATAACCTTATGGAGTCCTGTGTGTAATTTCTCTTTGGGATTTGCCGGCTGTTGGGGTACCGGGCTGGATGGAAACCCCAACAAGCCGGCCCCTCATGTTACAGATCTAAGCCCACCCAACTCACTGGCTGAACCAGGACGTTGTTCTTGCCATAGAGCAGGGTGGCCCTGGAGTTCTGATGCAGGGATTCTACGTAGTCCCGGGCAGAGACGGATGGTCGGTCGTCCATGCTGCCGCTCGAATGCCTCTTCTGGATCTGGTATTATGAGATGACAGAGACGCACCTGTGAGTGACCGTCAGGCCTCCCAACCCATTCCCTGCCCCAAGGCGAGTCCAAACCCTGCCCAAGGCCCTCCCACTGCCCACTCATCTCACACAGAGCGCCGGCCGCTTGGTGGGTGAGTCCTGTCTCAGATGTGAACTGTGGATCCGGTGTCTCTGGACCAGCTCATCGGCTGAGGGGTCAGTCCAGAAGTGGTCAGCAGTCTTCATCTTGGTATACTCCAGGGCACAGGGCCCCACTGCGGAGAACACAGGGCTGGGAACCTGGAGTCCCCAAAAGTGTTCCCAACCAACTGCCTCAAGGATGCCCCAGAGTCCACTAGAGCAAGAGACAGGTCCCTGAACCCCTAAAGCAAAGGACCAGATGCAGCCCAGAGTCGACTTACCTAACAAAGAGGCGAGGATGGGGCCATCCACAGGGTCCATCAAGAGAGCCTCCTTCTCATAGTATTTACTAGTGGGAGGGAAGAACATGCGGGTCTGCATGGAGACCAGCAGAGGGCGCACGTGGGTGGACTAGGTTCCACACCCCAGGAGCCCAGCTCAGAACCTCAGCTGCAGGGGACAAGAACTGCATCTCATAGGCTGAGCAAAACAATTGATGAAAGGCGCCTGGCCTCAGTTCATGGGCACCTGCTCACTACACAGCCCTGAGGATTTTAGGAGAGCAAAGGAGTGAGACGTGAGGCTCTCAGGGGATGCTGTCCTTCTGTTTCCAAGGCAAAGCTGTGCAGTCCAGCTATGCTGTGCTGTAGATTCAAAGGCTGTGCTAACAGGCTGTCCTACCCTGGTAGTCAAAACAAACGTCAACACCAAGCCCCAAGTCCCTGAAATCTGACCCTGATAAATGCATGATGTCATCAATACAATGTCCGTGCTGAAGGCATCCACCTGTCTGTGAGCAGTAACAGGAATGAAAACTCATCTAACACGAACTATTAATAAGGACACAAAAGTTAGATGGGCTAGGGGGCGACTGCATGGTAAAGTTCTCACTTGGAGGGGCCCCGGGTCTGATTACCAGCACCCACATGGTAGATGATGTGTGGATGTAGTTACCAGGATGGGTGCTGAACAAGAAGTCTCACGCCATAAAACCTTTAATCTGAGACAGGACAGGAAGTGTCCAGAGTCATGGTGTATTTTCGACATACCATGGCCCACTAAGTTCATTTCTATATATTTGCTGTAAACCACCACGTGCTTTTAAGCTGAAGAGACCACCAAGGTACAGAGAGGTAGGGTAGCTGTTAGCTGTCAGCGACCAAGTGGAGGAAACCGCAAAAGGGTGGGATCCAAGACCCCTCCGTCTTACCCGAAATGTGAAGCCCCTGTTTTCACACTGCTGTTTAACACCTGAATCCTCTCCAGGTTTCAAACTGCAGTAGTTCAGGGTCAAACCTCCAGGAAGCTTTTACTTAAGCTTTTCAAACTCAAGGGTGCGGTTCCCAGAATGGCCACCAGGCGGCCACAGAGCATACCACTTACCTGCTGTTTTCCACCAGATAGTGGACTATTTTGTCCAGGACCCTCTCAAACAGGGCAGTGCGGATCCACAGGTGCTTGATGGCCAGCGGGGACAAGTTGGGCAGTTTCGGCAGCTTCCGCACATTCTCCTGCAGGCCCTGGATCTGGTTTCGCCTTTGAGACCATCAGGAGGAGAGAGCACAATCAGGAAAGAGGGAATCCATAGAACACACTCACAGACACATCTGTCCTGACTCACAGATGGGGGGGGGGTGATGAGGGTGGGAGTGATAGGGGTGGGGGTAGAGGAGAGGGGTGGGAGTGATGGCGGGGGTTAGGGTAGGGGTGATGGTGGGGTGATGGTAGCGGTGGGAGTAATGGTGAGGGTGGAATGAGGGTGGGATGAGGGTGGGGGTGGAGGTAGAAGGTAAGGGTGAGGGTCGGGGTGGGGGAGAGTGAAAGCATCAGGCAGAGAGAGGCCAAGAACGAGCAGAACACTGCAGGCTCTGCCAGCAGGGAAGCCAGATGCCAGCCCCTGTCTTTTCTCCTCCGCTGCTGTCTCTCCTTCCCTCTCTTTCCCCTCCCCACCCTTTCTAGAAAAGAATGGCCAAGGAGGCTTAGATCTTCAGTTCTTTTAAAGACACCCTGCTGCCCTTGGGAAGGTAACTGTGTACTATGGCCATGAGGGTCCTGTGGCCTCACCCACTACCAACCCACTGCCCCATGGTCCAGCAGGACACAGCCCCATTCAGTTTCCCACATGCCCACCTCTCCCACAGAGCCCTTTTGCTGCAGGTTTCCAAGATAGGCTAAGCCAGCAGATCTGGCTCTGGGTTCAAATAAGAGAGCTGACCTCAGTGGACAGGTGGAAAGTGACCAAGGAGGACATTTATGTCAACCTCTGGTCTCCACACAGACACACACACAACACACGCCCACATGTGAACATGTACATGGGCATACACATCACACACACAGAAATAAAACGGGGGCATGGTTCCTAGTTGGCACTTGATCTCTCAACAGCCATCTTGTGTCATGAGCCAGGAGCTAGACACTGCCTAGAGGCCGGGGACATAGATGCGGCACCCTATTCTCATAGTCTCAGACTCAAGTTCATGGCTGGGGAACGAACAATGAAAGTAATGACAGACAGGAAGACAGGGAGTGAAATAAACAGGGGGATGGGGCAGAGAGGATGAAAGTGGGTAGAATTCGGAGAGCTGAGTGACAAGTGGGCGGAGCATGTGTCAAGGAAGGAGCAGACAGGAAGAGAGAGACAGACAGACAGGAGGTGTGGGCCCTCCCCAAGCTGCGGAGCAATGCACACTGCCCCCCATGCCACACTCACGCGCTCTCAATGAGCTGCTCCAGTTCCTGCACCTTGCGGCTCAGCTCCTCAGCCGGAGGGAAGCCTTTGCCCACCTTCATGAAGAGTGCGGCAATCTTGTTGCTTCGCAGGAAGCCAGCAGCCCTCCGCCGCAGCCCGTGCAGCACACAGGCCTCCACTGCCGCTGTGGGGACACAGTGATCAGTAGCTCGGTCCACACTCCTTAGCACCAAGAGCAACTTAACACCACAGAGAAAATGCGTCCATGTCCACTCGTCAGGCGCACCAAAGGAATCAAGAGAGGCTGGGGTAAAGGTTGACCACGGCTGCTCACATCTGCCAACCAGTAGCCTGCTGTGGGACTAATCGTTTCCCTTTTCTGCCTCTGTCACCCCCCCTTAAAATGGGGTGCAGGGTGAGTAGTGATCTATCAGGATGCTGTTAGCACACATGACAGAGTGCACAGGACATTCTTAGAGCCCACACAGAGAGCTCTTTCTGAGTCCAGGCGTCATTGCTGACAAGAAGACAGATAATGACAAACCTCACCTGAATTAAAGAAACCCATCACCATCTCTGACATCACAGCCACCATCCCACCATCATGTTCATCAGCCGTGGCCATTGCCATTTTCTTCTTCACCCTCACCATCATCAACTGTTATCACCATTGTCTCCGTTATCATTGGTATCACCACCATCCACACCATCGTCACCACTAACACTAACCTCACCATTGTCGCCACCACGGCCAACACCACCATCCACACCATCGTCA